CACTAGCTGACAATGACTACACTGAATGCAGAAAAGACCATTTTCTTATTTAAAGATTTAGAAAAAATAGAATTATGTTTCCTGATTGAAAGAAACAAAGCATTTCAAGGAACAACTGTCCTTTTCAGGTACCTCTACACGGAATCTTAGACTAATAATAAAGCAGTAAATTATCTGAAACAATTTAAGTGACTATCTAGTGTTTCAAGCTCTTAAACAGAGGCTGCAGAGAAGTTTCTCCATAAGACTAACTTCCAAGTATATGGAACTGACAATAGCATGAACAACAACAAAAACCTGAAAACACACAGTTCAAACACATAGAAAACATTTTTCTTGCCTCTTACCTCAAAGCTTTCTGATCAAAATACATAAAAAGTTCCTTTCCCAATGTTTCCACACCCCTGTAAACATATCCAGTAAGGAAATTATGAACAGAGGTTCTCTCCTCACTCGTGGCAGTCTGAAAATGAGTACATATGCATGAAGATTAAAACAGAATTTATAATACTTTGATACCAGCATCAGTATGTATTCAGCAAGTAGATGTATGAACTAATTTTCCAATTTAGACAACATCAACCTTTTTTTTTTTTTTTTTTTTTTAAAAAAAATCAAGGTATCTTATCCCTTTTCCTTCAAGTCATGAATTCAAAAACAGAGTTCCCAGCTGATATAAACTAATGGGTATAGTTTGAACATTAAACAGTTGTCAGAGTGTCAACTTTCTGCCATTTGCAAGGCTCCACCCTTCTCCAAATACCTCTTGCTGGAATTTCTTGCCATGCTAATTATATGCTTTCAGCATTTCACATTGCATATTACAGAATAACCTTCACAGAGATGCTTCTCTCTTCCTAACAGCTGAAGGTCTAATCTCAGATGATGTTGAACAGCAAGCAGGACACTACTAGAAGAGATGACAATAATTGTGTAATTGAAGCAATGATCTTTTCTTGCATAGCACATGAAGCTTCATTACAATTATAATAAGAGACCTCTACAGGTTATCTGGTCCAAATCACCTGCCCAAAGCAGGACTAACTTAGATCAGGCAGTCCTGGGCCTCGTTCAGTAAACTTCTGAGCATCTCTGGGGATGGTGTTTCTCCTCTCTCTGGGCTCTTGTTCCAGGGCTTGGCTACTGTTATAGTGGAAAAGTTTTCTTAACATCTAATCAGGACTTCTCCTGTTGTAGCCTGTATTGGTTGCCTCTCATCCTCTCATCCACTTCTGACAATGGCCTAGCTGTCTCCACACCTTCCTTTATAAACAGCCAAAGAGAGCAATAAAGACCCAGTTCCATCAGCCTCTCTCAACACATCACGTTTCAGCTTCCTAGGCCTATTACCATTACTACATTACCATTTTTTTTTCATACTGGGAGTTGACAACTGGACACAGTAATCCAGATGCAACTTCAGAGGTGCTGAGCAGAGGTACAGAATCATCATCCTCAGCTGTCTGGCTACACTGTTAACACAGCCCAGCAGGTAGCTGGCCCTCTTCCCCAGAAGGGCACAGTAGTATCCTCACTGAGCCACCTTCCACCTGAGCAGCACTCATGCCCCTGCCGTTGCATGGCATCATTCTGTTCCAGGTAGAGGAGTTTGCAAGTCCTGCAAATGCTGAACTTCACAAGTTTCTTACAGCCCATTTTTCTCAATGTGTCAGGGTCCCTCTGAATAGCAGTTTGAGGTCTCTGAAAGGTCCTTTTCAGACACTGATGAAACTTGCAAACAATATACCCATGGTCATTGAAGCCTTAACTGCAAGAGACAGATGCAAGTACCAAAGCTTCATTAACAATGCTTAATTGCAGCATAAACATATGTGAAAGCAACTCCAGCAAATCAGCAAGGCTTGAGCTGATTAGTGAAATTCCAAAGCTACTTTCAAAATAATTCCCCCACTTTCTTATTACCCTGAAATTATGTACATTCAAAGGGTTTTGCAGTTATTAATCTATCGAGTAGAAATATATATATATTGCATTACACCAACATCATTTACTTCACCTATTATCAAAATAAGAAAGCAAAAATTTCCTTCTTGCATAAACTGCTCATTCCTTCCAATAAAAGTATTAAAGGAAGTCCATATGCAACAAAGTGTTTTGGATTTAAGGCACTCAGGTTTGTATAAATCTGTGTGGATGTTCTTAAATACTACAGTCCTCAGCAATGGCCTAAGCTTAGGCTATGGTTAACTTTTGAGATTTGAAAAGCACAAGAGCTTTGTGATGGTCATTTGCTGATGAATAAATTCAACCCTGAGCTGACTTCTGCTGTACTAAATTATGAACAATGAAGGGCATTAAATTTTCCTATGAAATTGTAAGAGTAACTCCCTAATTTTAAAAAGCTTAGTCCTGAGGGATACAAAGCCATCAGGCCCAATCTGTTGATGGCATATCTTAAACAGATGTATCTTGAGCCACATTCTTTCTTATGTTCATTTAAGTATTGTTTTATTCAGCCTTAATCCTTAATACATTTTCTTATATCGCAAAGGGTGTTGGAGGGGCAGTCCCCAACTTTTTGTCTGAAGATATCTAGTACACTTACTTAGGACTTGAGTGATACAATTTCACTCAGCTGAGATAATAAATAAATAAATAAAAACCCAAACACCTCATCGCCTCCACAATCAAAACCAGACCCAGGATTGTCACAGCCCATTAGCTAGACCTGCTCATTTATACGGGCTTGCTACCAGAAGGTCTCACAAAGCCCCAGCAGAGTTTTATACTGTTGCATTAGTTTATGCTGCCAGCTAGAAAGATAAAAACTAGTTGCGAAATTACACAGCCTGTACTGAGAGCAGACGCCACAGCCTTTGTTTATTTGAATAGCTGGTCTAATTAACACGATGCTAAAAAAAAAAAAAAAGAAAAAAAAAAAAAGGTTATTGACATGCAATTAAGCTCCTTAACACCACACACGCAGCCGTACAACTTCTGCACTTCTGCACACCCCACCCCTAAGCTTGATCGCGGCCCCCCAGAGGCCTCCCAAACCCAAACTCAGCCCCAGCCCTCACCGCGCTGCCGGCCCCGGCTGGCGCAGCGCCGCCCCGCGCCCCGCGCACGGCCTGGCCGCGGCGCACGCGGGCCCGCAGCCGTTCTGCGAACAGGGCGAGGCACGGGCCCTCCACCATGGCCGCCGAGCGCTCCGCCGCCGCCGCCGCTTCCCTTCAAATCTCCCGCTCGGCTCGGGGGCGGCGCTGCCGGGCTGGGCCGGGCCGTTAGCACCCGGCGAGAGTAAAAGAGGCAGTCCCTGTCATCGCGACCCCGGGCGGGAGCAAAACGCCCTAAGAACGTTAAACGAAAGGCTTTGTGTCGTGAGAGCCTTCAGAGAAAACACGGTATCTCTTATTTGTCTTGCTCTTAAGCGTGAACTTGTAGTGGCTTTGAATACCCAGTTAGCTGCCACAGACTCGGTGCACAATTGGAAGTTAATTTCAGTCCTAAAAGAGTCAATATTTAATAGGATTTGCAGCCAGCCCGTGTCTGTTTACACATAGAAAATGTTCTTTTCTCTGCTGCGTTGGTAAGAAACCCTAAGTCAGCATGGATGTAATAAACTCCACGAGCTTTGGGAAATTCTGAGGGGACTTGCACCAGAAGGTAGGCGGTTAGGTGCCACCCCTAACATCCACCTCGTGAGGCACACTCACATTTGTCTTTCAGTGCCTATGATTTCTTATATAAACAGTCCACATCCAATCTGTTATCAAGGCACTGGCTTTGAATAAAACGTGCCTAATTCCTAAGAGGATAAGGGTTTTTTGTTTGTTTTTCTTCTCCCCTGGAAGGATGTGACTAAATGAGGTTAAAGTTACTATGTTCACTGAAATAAAAGTATGATTTCAGATGTGCTAGGAAAGTTAGAAAATGCTACTATATGTAATCCCATTCCATGCCCTTGAGTCCTGCCTTACTGTTCTTCCAAGGCAGCTACAAATCACTGAGTAACTCTGGTTTCTGTAGTCACATTTAAGCACCTTAAAAATATACCAACAGTCCCTGTTATCAAATATAATGTGTTTTGTGATAAGGAAGTTTAACTGGATATTTTTCAGTGGATGGCTGGTGCAACATGTTACAGTAGGTTGGGTTTTCAATTCCACATTTAATTTTGCAGGTGCATCTGCAGTTCTGACACTAGGCATTTAATAAGGTTCTCTGCCCCTTTTTTCACTCACATACACAAGAGAATTTTAATTGGAGATTCTACAGTAACTCAACTGCATGCACTTTTATTCACAAAAAGTTGAACTCAAGTTTTGTACAAGATGTTGATGAGCTTTATATTAAAGTGTTTGGTGATAGTTGATAAACATTTGGGAGTTTCTTTACTTTAAGAAAAGCATTTAAGAAGACATTTGAAACAAAGAGGAGCAGTAACAGCACAGGAGGAGATACCAGTCTGACAGTTTCATAGTGTCAGACAAATGCTAAATGCTGAGCATTGGTTTTGTCCCACAGTGTGAAGTGCAAGTACCTCAATAACAGCAGCTGAAAGAGCAACAGTAATTGAGGAAAATTATTGCTGACACAGTTTTTTTAAAAATGATGTAGTAGTGCAGTCAAGAGAGAAATACATAAATGCTTCTATTTTACAAAGTTCTAAGCAGAATAATCTTAGCTGCCTTTATAACAGTAGTTCCTTGAGACAGGAAATCTCAATTGCTGCCATTCAGTTTCAGCTTTGCAGTTCCAAGATAGTCAGACTAAGGGGAATGTATTTTGTAAGAGGCAAGTTTTAAAAGGATGCTGATAGATTGCGTATAAAATAAAAGCTTTTGCTTAATTTATGTCCAAGTTCTTTGCTAAAATATAACATTTTTTTGGCAGGTAATTTCATCAATGGTTGTTTACACTTTATTTTGACTTTGAAAAATCTAATGGCCATGAGAAATAATATCTCCAAAAAGAAATTAAATGTGCAAATTTCAAGAACAAACAAGCATATAAATCCCATGAGTGTATAAGTTTAATATTTGAACATTTTATACTTCCTGTCTGCTGTTCCATCAATGAAATCATAGCGATCTATTGTACTATGATAATAGATGTAGCAAATAATGACAAGTCACCTGCGGTGAAAGGTAAAATCTATTTTTGCAACAGAAACTGAGTAAATCTACATATGCTCATAAATTTATTCCCTGTTATTACAGTTGTTTGCACAGCTGCCTCTGTTATGTTTCCCAGGGGCATTCTTGGGTGACATTTCTTGATTTGTTTGTGCATTTGCAATATTTACATTCAGATATTAGCATACAATAGAACAGTGTGCTCACAACTGGACACTCATATTGTTTCTGACATAGTTGACACATTACTGCAGTTATGATCTCATTAGACAATCAAATCAAAAGTACGTTTATTTTTAAAAAATCAGGTTTCCCATAATTATGAGAAGCATACACATTCTTTTTTATTTGTTTGTTTCCATTTTCCAGAACTTTCACAAGAGCCCTAATTTCCCTGCCTTGTACCAGTTCTTAGCTCAGGGCATTTGACATAAAACCGATGTGGTTAATTTGCAAGAGTAGAGCTACCAATATCCAATTGCTTAAACTCTTTGTTTTATGTGCATTTTCTCCCTTGGATTAATGTGTTGTCCTTAGAACACTGGCACACAGTTTAAATACATTTGTTAAGTTTGCAATTAACAGAGCTTTGAAAAAAAAAAAAAAAGTTGGCAAGGAATATTATCATGTGACAAAAGCAGACTAACTTAACTGAAATGTCATGTTAAGCCACAGACTAAAGTTCAATTTCTCTGAATGGAACACACAAGACAACAGAAATACGCAGAAGACAAGTGCACCCTGCTCTTTTAAATCCAACAGTCAGAAGAACCATGTCAGCATTGAGATTCTCATTAAGGCACAGTTTTTTAATTCTGGCTGGTTGAAGTATACAATGAACTATAAAGACATTCCCTTTATGGTGACAAAATCTTGGATAAGAATTAATAAGCAGCAGAGCAGCAGATGACTGATCTGTTTCATGGTTGCCTAGAGAGTTAATGCGAACAGTTAAGTACACTGAAAGTTACTGATCGTGTAATCCTAATGAAATCCTTCCTAAACCTTGTAAAAACATTCCCAAATCCTCCTAAATTAGTTTTTTTTAATGCAATTAATCCAAATATTTGTGCTGTTAAGGGAATGTGTTCTAGTTATGGATTCCTGGTCTGCCAGAAAATTTTGAAAGTCACATGGTGTTGATACAGGGGCATAATTAAATTATTTTTTTTGTTAGTTATCTTGAAATAAATAATGCCTTGATTGGTGAAATCCTTTTGTTTTTGTGAAGTCCTTACTTTCCATTAGAGAAAATATGTTGTTGTAACTTAGTATTTTAAAGCTCCAGTTTTTGTAAACTAAAAGAGGAGCTTTGGAAATTGCAGTAAAATATCAAAATAACATTATTAACTAAGTTGTGAGTGACAGTTTTAGCATGGGAGTTTTCTGCATTATTGCAGTCACAACAAAATGCTACTTACAGCTTATGTACTATTCTCACTGAACATGGGGTATGTGTTGAAAATACTTTTGATTAATGCATTGGAAGTAAGAGAGACAGTTGAGTGTCTCTTAACCATCCTAATTTACACAAGTTGAAAGCTGGACACAGAACCATATTCTTAGCGTACCAATTCTTATACTAAACAAGAAAGTCAATTTCTTATAAATAAGTTTAATATATTGCACTTTAGGTAGCCAAAACAGGACATGAGTTTGACAGATAGAGGATGCAAATTATGTGTACAGTTATCAATATTTTTATATAGACATTGTCACAACAGTACAAGGATTTTCTTGACTAGAGCTTACTAGAGCATTATGAATAAATTACTGTTGCAAGACACTTAGTAAAAAATATCTTCTCTCTGCATCAATTCTTGATTTCCCTAGAGATAAACAAATAATAATCCCTGAAAATCTTGACTAGTTTGACGCATTAGTTTTCAGCAACGTGATTTTGTCATTTTTAGCCAGGAATAGAAAATTAGCCCTGGATTGATTTCAAACACCAAAAATCATTCATTCACCTTTGTACTGTATTAAACTTTCATTTTTTTCGCTGGAAAAAAAAAAAAAAGCCAGACTAATCTAACTTAAATCCAAATTTGTCTTCTGTGTGGACTAAAGGGTTAAATCCATGAGAAAGGCTTAGATTTACAAGGAGAGAGGCAAGCTATTCACTAATCACAGAGGTCCATCGACTATGGTCCATTTGATCAATGGCAAAAGATAGGCACCTCACCAGACAGTGATTTAGAGTGGAGGCCTCATGGCGTCTTTTTCTGTATTAGCCATACAGGGAACAATGCCACTTCCTGCTATTGTACATCTTTCTGCATTACTTCAAGCAGTCACCTATTTTTCTTATGCAGTATAAGAAGAGCTGTGTATAAGAATATGATTCACATGTTTGCTGAGCTGGGAACTATCTGGAAGTGCCACAAAGTTGGCTAGGTGCCTGTGAGCACTCTGGGTTCCTAGTGGGAGTGAACCACTCCCTTTAGTTAGATACCTAAGCACAGCAACATTAAAAAACAAACAAAAAACAGAATGTGGCAGCTTTATCTAAGCTATTACAGCAGTCTGCTGATACTTGGATAACCTATTGGCACATCCTTCCCTGGGAATTAGAAAAAAAATGTTCCTAGAGTTTCAGACTCCTGAGAAAGTATGCAGGAAATAGGATATACAGTGTTCTGCGGTTAACTTAGTCTCTTGTCAAAGTGTTTTTATTTTGCATAACATACATGTACTTAGTCTTTAACGAGAGCAACGACAGGAACCAAGGTCATTTAGATTAGCCTGGCATTATCAAACCTAGTTTTCAGCATCTGACTGCTGAACGTAGCCGCTTCAGACTTCATATTTTGTAATACAACTGTCTCTGGAAGGATATTCTCATCTTAGGCTGTGATCTTGCCATTAATTCTAACAGGAGCTTATGAGAGTATGAATATAATTTTGTCATGTTGGGAGTGAATCTGAGTCTTAATGATGTAGTTATTATGTTATTAAGTATTCAGTATTCATCTACATCTTTATATATTTATTAAAGGGAAATGTTTTACTTCTAAAGAGATTCCTCTCCCTTTCTCAAAGTGCCTAGTAACTCCATAATAATGGCAGTTCCTTTGTTAGCAGGAGACCAATGATCCATATGCTGCTCCACTTCAGATTAAGTGCTTTGAACCTAGATATACTGTTTCTTGTGCAAGTATTTTAAGCCAGCAGGAAAGCTGCAGAGGCCACAATAATTCTTGTTACATTTCTGTTCAAGAGTTGGCCTGGTAAACATAAGAAACTACATCTCTTGGAGCAGACTCCAAAAGTAAGACATACAGAGATTACCTAGTCAATTCCATCCATACATGATGTATAAAGAAACTGGTATCTTCATGCTTGGGTATGTCCTAAGGGAGAAAGTTGGCCACAGCAGAAACACAGCTTCCCAGGAACACAGGTATCTATCTGCAGGGTTAGGTTTTGTTAGGTTTTATCAAAGTTGAATGCAGGAAAGCCTGGTTTTGGACAAGATATGCCTAGGTATCAGACCTCAGAGATCCAAGTATTACAGACTAAGCATTATATTTTTTGGAGGACAAGAAAGATCAGAAGATACATGGATTCCTTCAGAAATGTTTTGTGTAGTACATACGAGTTATGACATTTCAAAGTTCTATAACCATACCAAGCAACATCCCAGTTTCTTTCCCAAATCTTTATTTGCCCAAAGGGGCAAAACACCTTTTACCGCTATTAAATGACAGAGAAGTATTGAAAAAGAATTGAGTAAAACACATTCTAAATTCACAAATTGAATGTTTAGAAATTCCAAAGCATGGAAAAAAAAAAAAAAAAAAGGGAAAAGAAAAAGGATATTTTATATGTTTGTTTTGGAAATTATAAACTCTTACTCTCATTCCATTCCTAATTAAATCCTCTGCTTGCTTTAAGGTAGCCAGGTCCACCAGCGCAAGTGCCTCTGACCATTCACAATAGCATAATATAATTTATAGTCATAGTTTAACTTCATTTGGAGAAATGTTTAGAGAAGTTTGACAGCACTGTGGAACTGCCTCAGGGTGTAAGTAGATCTTACTGAAGCTGAGTATTCATTGAATAAGTACAGACAACTTACCGAGCAGTTTAAGAACAGCACTGTAGCTACTGCATCTTGAGACACAGTTCAGTGCCAGGAGTTTTGTTTGTTTTCTTGATGCATATTGTCTCCTCCCAAATGAAGTAAAATTTACTTTGTTTTTCTGGAGGAGAAAAGAGAATATTTAAAACTTGCCGTAGTTTTTTCAAAGGGTAAAGCCTTGAAGATATTTTAGAAAGTGTCCAGCAATAGCCCTAGGCTATCTACACGCTAAAACAGACTAAAAGGAGGAAATTGGTACCTGGAGAGAGGCAGAAACATTCTTTATAGCCTTCCTGCATTGTATTTATACATACAGTGCTCTGAGGTGTATTCTTTTACTGTGGGTTATTTTTAAGAGTAACACCTCAAAGAAAGATGAGGTAGAAGAAAGTGATCATGGGTTGAAGAACTTGCCATCTTTACTTCAGGTTTAGATGTTGTACTTTAATGCTATCCTGAAAAACATTAGAATAATATTTGTTTAAAAACTTAGATATTATAATAAAGTCCGTGAAGCTCCAATAACAGAGCTAAGTGAGATTTGCAGTGCAAAGTGCAATGAGGGCTGTAGCAAAACTGACCTAGCACATGCACCTTGGTTTTACTTCTCTGTTACACAAACAGTAGAATTCCTTGTACCTTGCTGCAAGTCTTTATCGGCTGCCTGTCTGCATGCAGCACTCCATTTTAATTAGCTTCAAGATTCAAGGCTTAGAAGGAATAGCAGGGGTCTCTAATTATCTTCACAAACTAGTGATCTGCCCAGAAAATGAGGAATGAATAAGCATTAAGCAGTCAGAAGCCAGTATTCAATCACAGAGAGAGGCAGGAAGAGTGGAAGATAAAGAAGTGTAATTTTCACTGACTTTTCAGGGCCTTCAAAATTACTAAAAAGATATCCTTCTTTAGCAAAACATGCCAATTGTAGGTAGAGAGGTTTTTCTTTTTCTTGTTATTGTTTTTTCTTATCAATAATGTTGGACTAGATTCTTTAGGATAATTTCTTTTTCTCTCTGCAGTATTTTGGATATTTTTATTTTAAATCTATTTGTTTAAGAATTGGTAGCATTTCTTGAAGGATTCTGGTGAGACCGTTTTCCAAGTGTTATTACTAATTTTTCAGTCCAAATTCAGGGGGAAGAAGACCACACTGTTCTTTCCTTCCTTCAAAAAGGAAAAAAAAAAAAAGACATTGGGATTAAAATAATTGCTATTGCTATTCACACTGGTCTTGCCAAAAAAAAAAAAAAGGCTGAGGATTATCTCTTTTAGCAACTTTTGAATCAAAGCTGTATTACTGATATGAGGCTAAAAAGGCTTTGCTGTTCTTTTATAATTAAAAGCTACTGTTAATATGGAAATTTCTTAAACAGCTGGTGCATTGGAAGAAAGGTTGTACTCTTCTCTATGAATAATCCTTTTAAATCTCTGACATGATGCATAGCTTCTCAAACAATGCCTATAAATAAAACAAAACTGGATTCCTTCCATACATATATTTATTACCTTTACTTGTGCCCCTGTCAGCGATTAGGTAAGAATGCAGTAACAGAACTCACACTGGCTTGTGAAAGTAATGTGAATGTCCTTTCCTGGGAACTTTATTTCTACTTTCATTTTCCAAAATACTTACTTCACTGTGTCCAAAAGTGGTGTCAGGCTTCACGAGGAAGCCATGCAAGCCACAGCCCCAAAAGCTCACAGTCACTACTTTATTCTTGAACCATTCTTGAACTATTCTTGTCAAGGGTAACAGGAGAGGATAGACCTTGCTAAGTTTGGTAAAGGCTAGAGACAGTTTTGAAACAGAACAAAAAGCTTTATCTCTGTAAGATTTTCTGCCTTTCCTTGTAGAAAGAGGTTTTTGCTTCTGGCTGGAAAGCATCCTATCAGCACTACAGCTGAGGTTTTCATTTTGTTCCTGGCTTTGGGAAGGGGAGAAGTACCAGTGAAAAGTTCCATGACCCCTGCCCCAGAGGGGTAAGAAGTGGTAGGAAGCAGGTGGAAAGAAAAAGGTGTCAGTCAAAGACCAGATGACTTGCTGGGTGCTCAGAGCGTATGCGTGGGGTGTGTTTTTGCTCTGCATTCTGTAGACTCGAGGAAACCCGGAAACAGACACGCGGGGCACGATGCAGCAGCGTCTTTTTCAAAGTCAGGCCGGCAGCTGGGAGGAGCAGCTCTGCGGGACGGGATCCTCAGCAGGGCGGATGGGCACGTAGAAAATGAGTCAGCAGCGCGCCCTTGTGGCCACGGCCGCTAACCGCATGCACCGCTGCCTCGGGAGGGATACAGCCAGCAGGCCGAGCAAAACCGTGATTCCTCTTTCCGGTGGCGCACGTGAAACCGTATTTGGCTCCATCAGTTTGTTCAGGGGGCTGGAGCACATGGTGAACTGAGGCTGAAAAGGGTTTGCTTAGCAGAAGGGACAGGTAAGGCTTTCTACACTTCTCCACTTGCTGTCTTCACCTCCTTAATGAAAGGGGAAGCTATTAAGGATACAGAGGCTCTCCTGAGAGGTACACAGCAAAAGGAGAAGAGGCCATGCAGCACACACAAGGGAACTTTTGACTGAATATAAGAAAAAATGAAATTCACAAAGAAGATCCAAGCACAGACGCAAGTTTTCCAGGGTGTATACAAAATATCCATCATTAGAGAATATTCCTGGGGAACCAGATCTAACTTTGAATTTGGCATTGCTTTGGATAGGAGACTGGACTAGCTGAACACTAGAGGTCTCTTCCAATCTGTGCATTTCTATGAGTCTGAGATCCATACTGCTTATCAGACAGAGCGCTCTAGCTGTTTCTGAAATTTATGTGAGATACTTCATGTTACTTAGCTGAATTTCAAACTGTTTCACACCTGCTACAGCTCCTCCCTTCCCCCCCTTTTTAGTACTGAAATGCTATTTTTAAGAAGTGTTAACAGAGGACTATTAATAACAAGTTGCTGTTTTAACTACTATGGCAGTAAGAGGTGGGCTTCCATGCAATAAAGTTCCTCATGATTTGTAAAGTGGAGACTGTTGCTCTAGCAGCAAGGCAGCTTGGCAGTGTGTAGCCTAATATAAGCTGATGGGGAAGAGGTTTGACAGGAATACTAGAAAGTTCAAAAGCAACAAAACCCTGTTTTTGGATACGTATATATTTTTTTCTTCTTTTTCTCAATTTAAGTGTTTGCAATACTACAATATTAGAAATGGTATATTCCTTTTGCCTTTGGGTATTTTGAATTCTCTTTACTGTATTTCAACCTTTGTTTTCAGTTCCCTCATGCAGGCTTCATAAATGATTATAATTTTGTATTAGTAGAGTATGGCCCATCACAGGCTAAGGAGGACTGTTGAGAAAGTAGTGGTGAACTGTGCCTGTTCTCCTAGTAGCATGATTGTAAGTCAGATCTAAGGAAAAGAGAAGCTACATAAAACAATAAATAACAGGGTCAGCACTGTAAAAGGCTTTTGACACTTGAATAACTAGGAAAAGATTAATGTTGGTTACTAAATAGAATCTGGTGAGGAAAAAAAAAACACAGAACTGCATAAAATAAACCAAAGAAGGCCTATAACTGCACTTCAGAAGCACACTGAATGAGGACTTATGGCATATATATTTACAAACTACATAATACATGAATCATGAAAGTACAGAGTAAGAAGTTGCCCCCAAAATAACATGCTGTAGTAGTTCTGGGGTTGAGCAGATTCTTTCTTGAGACAACTCTTTTTGTAATTGTGGGAAGGTTCCACTGTGGTTCACAAGAGATTTTATAGAATAATTACATAGATAGAGTAAAAATTGTTGAGACTCACAATAACCACTAAATATCTTATTTTATACTTTTTTTTTTTTTTTCCCCCCAGATATTGCTTTGACAATCTGGAGGCTGAATTACTAGAAATGAAAACTACACCAACAAGCTATGACAGAAGATTATAGGAAAAGTTGCAAACTGCTAATGAGAAAAAAAAGTCAATTATACCATATAGGTAAGAACATTACCTGTGTTGTTACCTGGAAGGGGGGAGGGGGAATCTTGAGAATCCTCCACCTGTAGAAGGCTCTGTCCATACTAGTTCAGCTACTGTTAAATAGGTTTTGCCCTTAAAGATGTAGAGGATGCTGACTTCTCATAAATCACATTCGGTCTAATATGCTGGTTTTGGAGCGCTTTAAGAAAAATAGCTTGCTTTCTTCTAGAAGTTGGAATTTTTGAGTCTTTTTCTCTTTAACTCAGAGTTTGCATCTCAGGTAATTCAGCAGTGCTTCTTTTCAGAAAGTAGGGATCTGGTTCTGTGTATTTTCATCTAGAGCATTTACAGTGAGCTGATTGCTGAACTGTCTCAGGTGTCAAGAATCCAAAGGTTTAGAGATCTTTTAAACCTTGTCAACTCTCTTCATTTTCTGACTTGCAACAAGAAGCAAATAAAGTCAGTGAAGTTTTTTAGTAATTGGTGTAATGTGCTCCCTGTGGTTAACACAGCAAAGCAGGTGGGCAGCCTCCTTTTACATCTGCTATATCTTCCAAACACTCTCCTCCAAACAAAAGGTATGATGAATTATGTTTTGTGTAGAGGTGTCTGCCAAGGCACCATGGGATTAGTGTTAGGCCTGGTCTTATTTAACATCTTCATTAATGATCTGGAAGAGGGAGTTAGCAGGCCATTAATTAAACTGGCAGATATTACACAAAAATAATTCTAAGGTCCTAGCTGGACTAGAAGCAAAGGCAGACTAAAAGCAAATACTAGTATTAAGAATATAAGATGAATATGGGGAAAAACAGTTTTTCTTTGCCTGCAGTGACATCTGAACCATTTTGCAGATTGTGACTGTGTGTCCATTTGTATCACCTTTACCTTTAAACACTGCCTTTTAAGTAAACACTCATCACCTTGAGAGAAGTAACCAGTTGCACAAGATAGGGTTTCCTTGTTTTTAGCAGAGATAAAAGGATAAGGTATGAGAAGTTGTTTGTTTTGTTTTCTTGCTTCATCACCAAACTTGTTTGATTATAAGATTTGCTAGTTTGCTTTCATGTTTCTTTGGAGGGAATTAATTCCACTTTAATTCCTTACTGAATGTTGAATCAACAGTTTCATGAAATGGGTTCCATATCAATCTGTCCATGCTGCAATCACTGGTATTGTTTAATTTCCCTTTTAAATTTTATTTTTAAAAGGAAAAGAAAACTTATTTGCTTTGCTATGTGTCAATTTGTATATAAGACCATGTAAACTACACAAAAGAGTAGTTATGATCATCAGGTCTAAAATCAGGTACATCAAATCAAACAATACAAAACAAATATGCTTGATTTTTCAGAATTTGTGAATGTAGTTTGTGTATAATAATCTGTATAGGCTGTGAGTAGAGAGAGTGTTCCCTGCTTGTGTGCCTGTGCCTTAGGTCACAATAATGTGGGCTGTATGCTTTTCCCTTGGACAAGTCAGTTTTTATAAATCAGGGATAAATGTGCACAGCGTAGATTAAGTTTGAAATAAGTATTGCATCTGTAGGACGCAATATTGCAGTTCTTGTGGTGCTTGGAAGTCTACTGTAGCTCTACTTAATAGCACAGGAAGCAGGCTCGTGATACAGCAGCGCTCTCAGGAGGAAGCTGGAGATATAGCAGAATCTGAGTAAGTCAAGAAACAGAAGTATTACTACGAGTGCATCTGTCAAACGGGGGGATGCAGGAGAAAATGAGGAGGTGACAGGTTGGACAGAAAGAGAAATAGCATAATATGAAGTGAGTTAATGATGCCAGCAATTTTTAGCAGTTGAGAAGGTAAGGGCTGCAAAGGCAAGGTGGTATTCCATGATTTATGTGCAAGAAGTGGGCAAGGTGATATTTTTGAAGTGTATGTTTTAAGCTGCGAAGGTGAGTTCAGATGTTCAATTTCACCGTTGTTCAGGATGAGCACTATAATTACAAAAAACATGTTGTTGGACTTAGCAAGTCACTGAATAACTGGGTATCTCTTGTGATCCAGTCTGAAAGGGATGACTTGCTATTGAAAAGTATTTATTGAGAATCAAAGGGCTGTTTTTCTTATATCAGTTATATGTCAAAAAAGGTTCATAAATTTCAATAGCAGTTACTTCTAACTTAAGGTATTAAAGCTGAAAGAGATTAACTCAATTAAAAATAGTTATTATAAAGATTTTATTTATTTTATTTTTTTAAGAGAAGACCTTCTGTCCTGGCCCAAGAAATTGAAAAGTAGGGGAAAACTTAAATTGAGCTGTAGTATTTTCTTTATGAAAATCAGTGAAAATAGAAGGGATACTTTTGACAAAAAGCTACAATATAACTCTCAAAATCTCTTAACAGTCTGAAAAATCAAGGGATTTCTCACATTTCCTTGGCAAGAATTTATTTTCAGTGTTTGTTGCTGTTTCAAGGTTTTTGTTTTTTTTTTTTTTTGTTTGTTTGTTTGTTTGTTTTTTTGTTTGTTTGTTTTGTTTTTGTAAAAATGGATGTACTTTATTGCTGTTATATATGCAAAGTATATTTTGTGAGCTGAGCAACTGTTGTTGGGATGAAATGTATGTTATAGGTATGGTTATTGGTATGATCCTAGATTTGAAGATTCCTAAAATAAAATGAAAAATGTAAACTTAGTAGATGCTGGATATAATGTTAAAGCATTGTTCATTTGACCGTCCATATTTCCAGGCTTACTGAGCATCTCAAACTGTTATTATTGTTTTGCTCTGATGGGGCTACTTGCAGTCATAGGTATAAGCTGCTGATGCTTTTGCTTTTGGTGATGACTTCTTATTCTAGAATGAGCTCGATATCTCTTCTGGAAAGACACCTCAATAATGTTTAATGATGAAACTTGAAGAAAAGAAAAAAAAGTTATCTAGGAGTAAACTCAATGCATTGCAGGTTAGGGGGCATCTGAAAATAACAAATATCAGCTGTCAAAGAAAGCTTGTTGAAGTAAGCTTGCAGTAAATAGTAATAAATCATCTTAGAGCACAGCAGTGGAAATTTTCAGTATGTCAGTTGTCAGGTCAGCTTGTAGTATATGGTAGTCACTGGTCGTGAGGATAGGAGCCTATAAAATGGTAAAGAAAATAGGATGTGCATTCATCAGTGTATGACTGATGTGCTGACACAACACTAATTGTCATGAACACAAGAATGCTGTAATACAACTTCACCATAGTGGACTCAAGGCCGTAAATATATTTTACCAGCTGCCGTGTGGAATGAAAATCTATTGCAAGAATTTGTTTTTTATGGGACTGCTGAAGAGGTGTTGATCATTGAATCAAATCATGAATTCTCAAGATCATCGTAATCAGGGAAGGCAAAGTATCTTTTTGATGTAGGAAACATCTGTTAAGGAATTTCTCCTGAGTCTCATCAGTAGTTGGCGAGTGTTGTTGCCTTAGCAATGTTTTCATTATTGCTGTGTCTACATGTATAAAACAGCATAATACGTTTTATACTACTGGTCTTTTCTGTATTCTCAGTGCAAACTAATAACATGTATTTTAAGTTCTTCTTAGAAGTTGAAACAATGTATAAGATAAAATAACATAGTGCTTTTTAACAGTGTATTCCTATACTGTGAGCTACACATGTAGCTCTATTTTAAGAATAAGACCTAGTTACTTTTTAAAGTAACTTTATTTTAAAGTTTTCTACTACAGTTTTCTATACATGCCTCATGGGCAAAGGAGATGCTTTACAGTAAAGCCTGTAAGGCATATTCTCTTGTTCAGTGGTGCTTGGGCTGTGCCAATCTGCTGCATGAGGGCTGGACATATGCATATATACTCTTAACCTTCTTCATAAGGAACTACATATTTTCATCAAACAAAAAGAATAAGTTCATATGGAGATGTTGATGGACAAAATATTTAGTCACCATGCTACTGTTTCCTCCAATTTAAGCAATTTTTGAAGAAAATACTCTTTTGGTGTTAGAACAATTGTGTATTACAGATCATGCACCACAACATTAACTTCGCCTTCTCTTATCCATTCTATGTTTATAAATCTTCAACGGTCTATTATAGACAGCAGAACCAAATGAACAAACAAACAAAACAGCTGTACACATTTGCCTCAGAAAAAGGAATAAGGATGAAAGAAGGGGAGATCTTGACTAAGATGCATGCTAAAAGCTGAAGCCATCAGAATTTAAGTTATGATGCATGATTTGCTTTGTATAAGAGCTGTGAACACAGTGCAGTTTGAATAAGGGAATATATAGTATTATTCTGCTTTCACTTCCTTTTATCATTTTGTCATAACATCTGTTATATATGGCAATACTATAATTCATTACATCTATGAAAACATTACACTAGAGAAAATATTAAAATACAGTATCTTCATTAGATTTTTGCTTTTTCTGTCTGTTCCTAACACCTAATTATTATCTTGTGATTCAGTGTATTAAATAAGTGTTTTTACAAAATATTCTGTTTTAACTTCATACATGTTGTCTTTTAGTTTTCTTTGCTTTTGTATTATAAAAGAAAATGAACAGATTTACTTAATCAGCTTTGACTTAGATACATTTCTTTTCAGAAATTATGAGCAGTAGCAAAGTATTTCATCTACAATTAGAAAAATTTTGGGAAAATGACTTTAAAATATATGAAAGTGTATGCATTCTTGTCCTTCCTACAGCTTATGTTGCTTTAGGAACATGAGTCTATCTACAGTTGACCTGGCTGTATGTTAGTATGCTCCCCGATAGTTCTTCTTTTTGTCCCTGCTCTATCAATCACCATCATCAGTAGTTACTTTTTATGCATTGGACTCCAGTAAACAAATAGATACTGTTGACTATGTATGGAATATCATAATCTAGTCTTAGTGTACAATCACTTTAACTTTTACTTCTCTTGAAAACAACCTTGTATTGAATGTACACAGCATCTTACTTCAATAAAGTTCAGTACAGCTACACAGTGCTTGTTTTGCTGTGTTAATAACTGCTAAAATTACTACAAATCATTACCAATAAACTATTGAATAGTATCTTTATATCTAACATGTAAGTATTAGCTGTTCCTACAACTAAACTGCAACTGCAAGGTCATTAATATGTGCAACTGACCTGGCAAATGCAAGCAGCTGGCTGTACATAGTTGTGCCTGAATTCTTACAGGTAGGAAAATTACATAGCTAAGCACTCATGCTTTTTCTGTAGTGCCAGATGTACAAGTGGAAAAGGATTAGTGTTAACATGGGAACCTTAACTGTACCGTTAAAGACACATCAACTGCTGTGAAATATCTGAAGAATTTATTCTAAATCTGAGTTAAAATAACTCTGGTAGATGAAAGTAGTGACAAGGCTATGGAAATTACCAATACTCCCTCCCCCCCCCCCCCCTCAAAAAAAAAAAAAAAAAAAAGTGGCAGACAGGCTGTGGCAGGTGTCATCTTTGGAGTCTGAGTACTTCTGTATGAGTCACGATTTTTTCCCATTTATTACTATCAAGGAGAGGATGAAACAGCTTAGCTTCAAGGCAATACCTAATCCCTTCACATCTAACTTCATGCACCTGGCTCTCTTCAGAAAGAAAAGCTATTC